ACAAAAAAATTAGAAACAATAAGGCCAGCTGGCCTAACTTAAAAGAAATTAGAAACTACTAATAAAAGAAATTAGAAACAACTAGGTGTGGGTATGAAACCACACACACTAGAGTCTGAGTGTGGGTATGGAACCCCACACTCGTGGCTAACCAACTATTTCTTCATAGACTATAGAAGATTTTACTAACAGAGAACATAAAATAGAAGGAATAAGTATACAAGTATAAAGTGTAAAACCACCCAGCAAGAGTGAAAAGGAGATAGAGAAAATAGAGCAGAAAAAGGTGCCACATCTTGCCAGCCTGCTCCCTATATAATATCAACACAAAACACCCATAAAAACACAACAAGCTAATATAGAAGAAATATGCTAAGGTTCTCTAATCTGAAAATGGAGCACCCATAAGTGGCAGGAAAGTCTAGGTCAAAACTGTAGATACTCCAAAGGAACCTAACTTGAAATTGAATTATCTTAGGTGTGAACCTGTTGAGGATGTAGAGATGCTTCCAAAACTAGTAATGGAAACTGATATTTATCTCTTTCCCAAACTGATATTGATTATGCTATTGGAGTAACCAATCAGTTTATGCATTCTCCATTAACTCAATATTTTAAATATATTAATACGGAGTTTGCTATCTTAAGGTTTCTCCTGGTAAAGAGTTTTTGGTTCAGAACATTGTTTTAAAAGGCGTGGGAGGCATACACCTGGAGGTGCGCCTCTAGGCGAGGTGCTCCCAAAACGCCCTGAGGCATATGCTAGAGGCGCTGACACCTCTGAGGCGTACGCCTCATGCACCTCATTTACATCTTATATAAAAAGATAAAAAAAAAGAAAAAAGAAAAAAAAGGAAAGGAAAAGAGGCTTACGCCTCCTTACCCCCCTCCTCTTAAGGAGGCTTCGCCTCCTTATGTTTGGGAGTTTTACGCCTCTTGCATTCTGCACTACGCCTCATTCCTCTAGGTAGTGGAATGCCTCGCATCATGCCTCCACGTTTTAAAACATTGGTTCAGAACAATGTATCTTATGAAGGTTGAGAGCTATACTGATGTTGACTGGGACAGATCAATGATGGACAAAAAGGTCTACATTCATACATTGTTTGTTTGATGGAAGGAAACCTGGTTACTTGGTAAAACAAGAAATAACCAATTGTGGCAAGATTTAGTGTCAAAGTTGAGCATAGGATATGGTAATTGGAACTTTTTAGTTACTTTGGTGAAAATGCTTCTTAAGGAACTAGGATGCCCTTTAGAGGGTCCTTTTGAATATATATTTTATAATAAGGTGGATATCAGCAAAGCTCAAAACTTGATTCACCATGGCTAGACCAAACATGTTAAAATTGACCAACATTTCATTTATGAAAAAGTTTAAGTTTGAAGGAGATTTGCTTACCATTTAAACAAACAAATTGTCTGATCAATGATGTGTTGGCAAGTGCACTTAGTAGGCTGGGCAGGCAAGACATTTATAGTAAGGTTTGAGGGGAGTATTGCTAGTATATATGTTTCTTTTTTGGTGAAAATTAGTATATATGGTTTAGTAGTAGTGTCGAGCTTTTCTTTTAAGAGTAGTTTAGTATTTTTTATCTCTTTCTCATAAGGAATAACACAAACTAGTAAGGGGCAAGGCCCTACCAATGTTTTTGCTGTGATTCTCTCAGTTCTTCCTTCCCACTCTTCCCTTTTTCTCTCTAATAGCAACCCGACTGTTTAAAAGTCTCTTTCATGAACAATTACTTTAATATATTAGTATGGATGGCTAGTGAGTGTGGGCCTTGGTGCAATAGTTGGGTTGCTCCACTGCGACCTGGGTGACCAGTGTTCAAATCTTGGAAATAGCCTCTCTATATGTGCAGGGGGTAAGGCTGCATACATCTGTCTCTCCCAGACCTTGCATCGGCGGGAGCCTTGTGCATTGGTCTGCCCTTTTTAGTACCGATTGCTCAGTGATTTAAAAGGCGCACCTGAGGTGCACCTAGGTGCACAAGCGAGGCGCATTTTAGGGCATGCGCCTCGTCCAAGTCCTAGGCGCACCCCTTTCAAAAATATCTTCTTAAAAGGCAATTAAAGTTATAAAATCATAAATTTTCATATGAAAATAAGAATTTAAGACCCTAACATGGAATTGTTCGGGCTTGCCTCGAGGGGCATGGTACAAAGGTGATTCATAGAATCAAGAATGCAATATGTTTTACATCACATTAGCTAATTGAAGTAATGGAATTGAGGAAAAAAGAGATTGTAGGCTTTACATGCTTGAAAATGATTTATATGTTTGCTTTTATTTTTAAATTTTCATTTGAATATGCTTTACATGTTATGTTTATGTATTTTAATTTTAGATAATAGGTTTTTTAAAACATTTATTTTAAAATTTAAGTTTATATTTTTATTAACATTATGTTTAATATTTTTTTATTTTTTTGGAATTGTTTTGAATTTTTTGACATTTTTTTTTTATTTTTTAGCTTTTTCTTTTGTAATTTTGGACCTTGCTTCAAAAAGCGTGCGCCTCACCTTGCGCCTTGCGCATTTAAAACACTGGGATGACTAGTATCAATTGAGAAAAACTCCAATGCAAGGTTGGTATAGGGCTTATATGGACTGTGATATTTAACATGTGGCTCATCCAATGGGTCCCCAAGCTGAAGGATGGCCTGGATTGGTCAAGGATCCATGATGGATAGGTGGTGTCCATCCATCTACATGGAAGAAAATAGGATACTGTAAGGAAGCTTCTGATCTGAACCAATGAACAAATTATGTCTACTGATCTCATAAAAAGAGACCAGATGCACTGATGCAGTATGTTTTACCTTGAGGTGTGGTTTTGAGCCCTCATTATAGCCAGTAATTACCATCGAGAAGTTCATTTCAAAAACATGGATAAACAGTTAAAAGTAACAGTTATTATTACAAAAAAGACAAAATAATAATGCTAATGTCGTAACAAGTACCTGAATTATTAAAGGATATCTCAGAATTTGGTATTAATACCTGGGCAACAGTAGGGATGATTGGTTCCAAGGAAATCCTTTTCTTCCCCTGATAGGACTTTATGTTTTCATCTGGAGATGCGTCCCAACGCAGATCCCAAGCCATGCCAAGATGGTCTAAAATCTGTATAAGGATTAGTCATACAATATGTAATTTTGAAGCAACCATAATAGAGTTTTTTTTCCTCAACCAACATTCTAGTATTCACAAGGTTTAAAATGTCGATGTCGATGGAAATGTTGCTTACCAAAATATAGGACATATGTCGGAAATGTCGGAAATGTCG